AACGAAAACAAAAACAAAAACAAAAACAAAAACAAAAACATGTTAAGGTGATGCTGACTCTTCTGAGGAGGTACCCGCTGACAGGGGAAGGCGGTAGCGCCGACCCGGGGCCGTCGTCGATGGCTACCCCGGAAGACGAGGAGGCGTGTCGACTGGACTTCGACCCCAAGGCGTCCTCTTCCTCCTCGCAGGTCAGACCTTTACCTTCGTTGTTTCATTGCTCTCAGCGCTGTAATAGGTACTACACAGGTCCGGCTTGCAATGTTTCATTGCTGTATTACGCAAGTTAGACTTTGTATGATGTCGTTTTCTGTAGCACTGTATGTATGCATGCGAACGATGTGTGTCCACGAAAGGCCGTTGAAAGAGGAAGTTGCTGCTCTTGAAAATGTTTTTTTCTGTATCTCACGAAAACGAATACAACCCATGCCCCTCATGTACCGTAGGCACTTTGGTCGTCTTTGGTTTCTGGTTGCACCAGCCAAAACACTTCGTTAAGGCCCATTCCCGCCGAACCGACTGGTAGGGTAACAGCCCCCGGGGGCACGTTCGTCAATGTTCATGTTGTACATTGATGCTATCGGTGGTGGGTAGTTTCACACGTTGGGCCTCCTAGAAGCGTCCTGGCTCCTCTCGGTAATTTTTCTCTGCTGCCCTTGGTTCTGTTCCCCCCACCCCACCTTGCCTTCGATGGATGTCACCTTGCCTGCGTTTGTTTGGACAGCGGCGGTACAAATCGCCCGGGTACTACATCCTCAGGGAGGTGAGTCAAGAGTCTGTACAGTATTCACGTCGAGTCGAGGCAAGACGATGGTAATTTAGATCGATGACGTCCTCACTCAACCGCCGTCGGAAAAGAGTTGAGAATTGCATCCTTGCGGGCACGAGCTGCTTACAGTATTCGATACCCGTATAGGGTAGGCGACCATCAGGTTCTTGGCGCCGCAGGTGTACTGCTGTAGCAGACCACAGTTGTACCTGTGAGCACTCGGGTGCCATGAATCTCTTGACTTGACCCACGACACCCGGGCCACAGAAAACCGTGTACCATGGCAGAGCTTGTGCGTTGTAGGTGCCATCGCTGAGAATCGATTTTCTCGGAATTTTTCAGCTTGAAACCTGCAGTACGCACACTATTAGTATCACCTTTTGTAACCCCTATCGTTTCCGCCCCCACTCATCAACGAAGGAGCGGGGGTTGCGCAGAGATTCTATTCCATCCTAGCGATGGACGGGCGGAAACCGGTTGCTGCCGTGACATTTTTTCTTGGCGTTGTGTTCCATGTCATGACGTATGACGCTAAATAGATTATAGTTCATGGGAACCAACTTTCGTGACTTGCCGAGTAATATGTCGCCCAACATGGCGGCTTAACTTGACGAGCAACAACTCACGGCGTACCATGCCATCTGACCCGGCGGCCTTCGCAGATCCTGGGACAGGGGGGGCTCTTCCGCCAGATGGTCCAGGTTCTCAAGGGTCCCGGGCGTCACGGCGACGGCGGAGTGGCTGGGCTGAAGGCGGCGAGGGTGAAGGCGGCTGCGAGCACGGCGCTGAAGCAGGGTCTGATGCTGCCCGGTGGCCGAAAGAGCGAGGCGGACGGAGGTTCCCTGACTCCGGCCGACAGGTATATTGCATGTGTTCCGTGACGTTTTGCGGTACGGTACGCGGTATGGGTTTGACGTGGTGCGGTGCGTCATGTCCTTGGTGTAATACGGAACGGCAAACTCAGATTTGTGCGTCTCTCGCCAATTCGTGTATGTATTTATCTGGACAAGTCAACCACCTCCCAACCTCCCCCCCGAATGTTGTTTATTTTCTACTTTTTTAATTACGGTCTGTTTTTTCGACCAGCTCCTTTCCTTCCCCCCCCACTACCTACTGCTGTACCGATGTGTTCGTTTTTTCTTTTTGCTGCATATGCCAGTCTGTTCATGCAGCTGTTTATTTTCCCTCACGAACCACCACCGCACGCCTCATTCGCACAGCAGGTTTGGCGCCGCCGCCGGCGGTGGCCTGGGGGGCCCGCAACAGGCAGGCTTGGCGACAACCCCCCCTCCAGCGGCGGAGCCGAAGCTAGACCCCGTCGAGCAGGGAGGGCCCGGTCCGGACTGGTCTTGGTGGCGCGAGAGGTGCGTCCTCTTGTCGCTGAGCATGCTGGAGGCGGCTTCCGAGCGAGAGAAGGCGTTCGTGGATCAGTGGAGGGCCAGGGTGTCGGCAGGAGGGCTGGACGACTACGACGAAGACGGGGGTGGGGGGGGGAGGGGCAGG